GGTATAAACTGTCAATTGTTTGATAGTTACACTTTAGACTGTAAATCCTTATGCGAGATAGGGTGGACGATTTCTAGGGCTTGGATAAGCCAAAATCGTCCAAAGGATATCCAAGGTAAGGATATGGATTAACTTAAAGTCTAAGTTATCCAACTAGGGTTTAAGTTGTAACCCTTAAGGAGTCTACAAGTATAAATAGACCCTATGAGATAGAGAATTCGACACATCTTCTAAAGTAAGGATACTCTGGTCGAATTCTATCCCCTCTCCTTTCTCTCAAATCATCCTCTTTGCTAGTGGGTGTTTGTAAGCCATTAGAGGAGTGACAATTGTGACTCTAGAGCTCCAAGACAACAAGATCAAACAAGAGAATCAAAGGTATGTTTCTAGATATGATTTTGTGTTGTTCTTACACCTAATAAGTCATTAGAAACCTTGGATTCAAAGCATGTTTAATAGAGAAACCTAGATCCAAGCATTAGGGTTTGTATGCGCACTTAGGAATGTTTTTATGTACAAAACCCATCATGGTTAACCTAGTACGCAGGGTGTACCCTCACAAGTCCAAAATTTCCATTAAGAACTTAATAGCTTAAGCTCTTATGTCCATGATTCAGATCCATGGCTAAAATCATCCTAGGAGTCATAAAATCTCTAACTTTATGACCTAGCATGTCCAATAAGTGCTTAACACAAGGTCTTATTCCATTAAGACCTTCTAAATGATGCATGAAGCAATACTAGCCATTTAGAACCCATTTTTTATGACTTAACACCCCTCCCAGGGTTTGAAAGGACAAGTCAAAGGTCAAGAACATGACATATTCAAGATCTAACATTTTGGGACCACATAATATAATATTACATAGAATCGTTGATATTGAAGACGAACGTAAACACAAACTTCGAAAAGACTTCACCTATTATATATGCGATGGTAACGGAGACGAAGAATAGTGAATTTAGTGGAAAAAAATATATTGCTTTCATCTTTAAAATTTTCCGTTCAATGTAATTTTTTTTGTGAGTGTAATGTCTTTTTAGTTTTTGAATGTTATTTTTAAATTATAATTTAATTAAATAGCATGTCTTATTAGTTTATAACTTTTTTATAGGGAAAATTTTGTATATGCCTTATTAAATATCAAATATCGTATTTTTCCAGACTAATATCCAAATATCATATTTACCTATCTTAATATTTTTAAATATCAAATTTCCCAAATATATTTTTTAAATAGTTTTTAATAATTTATAATCTTTTTTTATTTTTTAAATCATTAAAACTGAAAAGAAAAACTGAAGGACTATATTGCCCTTACCTTCTGGCCGGATATATTCACGATCAAAAAAATTTACTTCTTACTCTCTTCAATCGCCGGTGTTAACCTGTTGTCATCCTTCGTCTTGCCCTCTCGCCTGTTTCCTTCTTGCAATCGAGTTTAAGCAACATGTATTTGTCTTCCTATTTCCCTCTCTCCATCTTCGTTCATGATGTTGATCAATTTTACCACGTGAATGTGATAAAAGTTATGTCAGCACTTGATCTTTAACTTCCCCATTGTTGCTTTGATGCCCGTTTTTATCCAACATAAGCAACCAGGAGATATATGCATCTGGAATCTTGAATTATTGAAGCCCCTGTATTATGTATCTTGAATGCTGGAATCTTAATCTTTTAGAATATTGATCTTAAACCTCTAGAATCTTGAATTGAATCCTCAAACCTTATTCCTTTCATGAGTATATTAGTGGATTCCATCTTTTCTATACATGAATTGGAAATAACAGAATCAGAGTTTAGTGATTTACAAAATAATTAAGTTTATTTGTACAAGGCTGGTTCTTCTCAACTTGTTTGTAGATTAAAAATTCATTATCTAGATAATGGTTTCAAAAGTTGAATCCATTTTTGACTTCTTTTGCTTAATTATAATCAGGGTAAGGCAAACTACTCAACCAATCGTGTGTTTATTCGCTAATCTCTTAATATATTGAACTAATAAGCTTTTCATTAAGTTTAAGCTTGATGTATAAGTGAAATACTACTATTGGATAGTAAAGTCTAAGCAACAAACAAGGAAAAACAGAAACACTGTATAATTCTATTAGTTATTGTAGTTTAGTCCGATATTCAACTTATCTCTTCCAATTTCTATTAGTTATATCTTTTATTTACCAATGGCTGATTTGGTGCAAGCAACTGATAACATCTGATAAGAGATTTGTAAAAATTTGCAGCATGTTTTAATGTGTCTATAAAGCAACCTCAAAATCATAAACCAAATATATATATATATATATATATATATATATATATATATATATATATATATTTTCGAACAAGTGTGTGTGTATGTGTGAGTGAGATAGAAAAGGGAGCAACTTCATATAACAATATGGCCTGCCAATGTTAGCACAATATTAATTGTTTGGTCTACCAATTTCAACATAAAGTTTGATATATAAAAAATTCCACATTTTTTTGGAACTTAAGCATCAGACTATTTGGCAAGTAATTCATTAAGTTCTGACATTGAGCATCCATTTGTGAATAATAAAAGTTATGCTTGTGAAGGTTCCTACCCATCAGGTCTTTTTTTGTTATTTGTCATGGTTGAAAAATCATATGTTTTTGTTTCCTATACAAAATACATAATATTGATAAGATTAACAAACACGATAGGAATAATATTAATCAGATTAAGAAATATAATAGGAAAATACAAGTAGTATAAATAGCAATGTACTTTAGTCTCAATACCAACATTAACAATGTACTTTATTTCTTATGCATTTTTAGATTGTCTATCATCCAATTCGCTAACATTTGTCTATAAAGCACAAAACATAAGAAATTGAAAACAACACATGTACACTAAATCAAAACCACACACAGTGGTATTAAATGAATTCAAAGTGCAAACCAAAATTAAGCATGTGATTTTGAGTGGTACCTAAACGATGTGAATATATGGAAAACGGGATTGTGAAATTAATACAGGGGCTTCAAGAATTCAATATTCCAAACGCATAGGTGTTGATTCAGTTGCAATAAAGAAATACAAGGAAAAATGCATAATTACCTAGTGCTTTTAGCAATTTCAAGAAGGAAGCGGCGGGTGGCAAAAAAGCAAGAGAACGAGACCACCGACGATTGTGAGGAAGACAGAGAGACACCATCGATCCTGATGAAGACGACCATAAACCTCGTTTGAAAGGATTCCTACGATTTTGAATAGGTAAGGCTATTATGGTATGTTTAACTAACTTTTTAATTTTAATGTTTTTAAATTGTAAAAATTACTATTAAAATGATAAAATTGTTTAAAAAATAAATTTGATCAAATCTTATATTTTAAAACATTATGAATGATTAAAAAGATATTTAGAATTTAAGCCAGACAAATACTATATTTAGACATTTAATAAAGATATACATATATATATATATATATATATATATATATATATATATATATATATATATATATAATTCTCTCTTTTCTATAAATATTATAACATAAATAAAAAACAAATTGGAAAAATATTAAAAAAATGGAAAAGAAAAAAAAAAGATGATAACATATTATAACATAAAAAAAAACAAAATAAAAATTGGAAAAATAGAAAAAAAATAGAAAAGAAAAAAAAAAGATGATAACTTAGAAAATAGTGGGTTTTATAACACATTATTCATTTCTTTTAGGGAGTGTTTGGGAGGGATTATTGAATTCCAAAAATGCTTTTAGGTAGAAGTGTTTGTTTGCTTATAGTTGATGATTTTGATATCAAAAGACAACTTTTAAGTATGATAACATGATATTTTGGCCACACTCATAAAGATCAAAAGTTATATCAATTTGAAGGGAAAATGATTCTTGAAGGTAATTAATTTTTGCGTTTGTACTCATTTGGTCCTTTTTTTGTATTCAATATACCATTGAACTTGTTGTTTGCGTTCACGATAACCCTTTTGACCGACTTTTGACTTGTGATAGCCGATCAAAGGGTTATAGTGAATACAAACAACAAGTTCGATGGTATATTGAGTACAAAAAAAAAGAAATTGACCAAATGAGAACGAACTTAACAGTTAATTATCCTCCTGAGATATTTTCCCCGAAAAGTTAAATGAAATTAAAATTGCAAAATTATCAAAGACTGTAACCTTCTTTGGCTATAATGTATATGAAGAGCGTTTCAAAGGAGTAACCTTGTTAAAACATATTCTATGTTATGTTTACTGTGGTTAACTGTCAACGCCTCTCTGCAAAAGGATATGACTGTGTATGAGAGATATATTTATCAACATAAACATTTACCTCAAGGTATATTTTGGTGATGTGTCTACAAAAGCAGCATGATATTGTACATATTGATGTTGTATCTTATCCCATGAATTCGATCTTAAAGCTAAGTAAACTAAAAAATCACAGCACTTGTGATTCCACTCGTTTGTAGACTTGTCTAGAATCCATGATACGATAAATCATTTGATTGGAAATCTAATGTAGTCATGAAATGCGCCTGCTTAGTCAAGATTCACCTAATAAATATTCAAGTGGATTACAAAGTTGCACGTGTATGAATAATGTTCTTTCGTGAGTTATGTTTTGAAGAGAAGCAAAAATGAATCTCATAAAGTCATTAATATCAATAGGAGATGACGTGGGATTTGTTGTAAATGAGTAAAGGGAAAATGAATCAGGAGGGTAACCAATTGTTGCATTTGTTCTCATTTGGTCCTTTTTTTGTACTCAATATACCATCGAACTTGTTGTTTGTGTTCACCATAACCCTTTGACCGGCTATCACGAGTCAAAAGAGTTATGGTAAACACAAACAACAAGTTCGAACGCAAAAATTAATTACCCTCAATAGTCATTTTCCCCAATTTGAACATCTTGCTTCATTTATTTTTATCCTACTTGGCGATAAAAACATTTGTTAGGTCATGGGAAACAAAAATTATAATAAAATGTACACAAACATATTTATTAAAGATGCATCACGATAATACTATTTACTAGATTATCCAACATTATATAGGATGATCCACCAATGCTTACACTTTTTCTGGCCAACTTTTTCATTTTATTTACATTTTCTATCAAGTCATGATCCTTGGATCCCATAACATCTCGTATTGTTTTCTCGATTATATTTTTATCGCATCTTTCTTCCATATGCATCCCCACCTTCCATGTCTTACTCATGAACTTGCTATTTACTCGTTGGTCCCAAGAAGTTGGCCAATAGATCATCGACACGTCCTCAACAATGCCTTGAAGAGTCGAGTCCCAATCGCCATCGGTCAAGAACCCGCCGATTGCTTTATGAGCCAAGAGCTGGTTATTTGAAGCCGAATCAACAATGAAACCCTTCTCCTTCATGCCATTGATGAGCTTCGCCAGAATTCGACCTTCTAAAGCTATGGAGTCCGGCCATCGTACCCATAAGAACCCCTTTTTACTATTCACCAAACCATGCCAAAGCTCGAAGGTTTGTACCTGTGTGAGTTGTGAGTGATTATCAATGTTGACGTAGAGAACAGATTTGGGCTGTTGAGAGTTCAACCACAGGAGGCAATCGTTGTTTTGTACAACGGAGTAATTCAACAATGGTGTCATTCTTTTGGTCTCTTACCTGAAACCTAGTTGCTTGTAAATCGGGCCGATGGCGTACATGTTTGGAAAAATGGAACGAATTTGAGAGAGTGTGGATGCATCTAACGCCTTGAATGTGTTGAGTATGAGCCCATGGGATTGAGGAAGTTGTTGAATTTGGTTTATTAGATGCTTCGGGAAAGGATGAAACAAGTCATGTTTTATGACCGAATCTGCATGATTTTCTATATTAAGAGGAAAAACCGAATTTCAATATACGAACAGAAAACTAATTTCGAAACAACAAAATTCACGGATTCAAAAAAACATACCTCCGATTGTAGGATCAGAAACTTCAGCTGCTCCGGTGAGTTTGGTTAGATTGGAAAGATGCAATAAACAACTAGGGCTTAAGGTCAACGCATAAATAACAGGAACTCGAATCTCATTAGCACCGTCATACACAAAACTCATGATTCCATCTGAAATAATACAGCTCACCGGCCCACGCTCATCGCAAATCAACTTTCCAGACATCAAAAGATCTCTGAAAAGCGGCTTCGTTAGGGTTTCAAGAGAGAGCAACAGATGCGTCGGATTAGATTCCGAGTGATCTGGTGGTAGTCCGTCAGAGATGGTGTGTAGGCGGAAATTTGGATATGGATTTAACCGGGACTTGATGTTGATGTGGCGGAGGAGGAGGCTGTGGGTGTAGGGGATTAGGAGAAATGTGACATCAAGACCGGGGAGACAGAGGAGTTCTGCTAGATCAAAAATGGGGTTTATAATTAGCCGTTGAAGTGGCAAAGGGAAGACGATGATGTGAGGGGGCGGGGAGATAATTTGATCATCCATTTGACTTTTCTCTTCTTGCGAAATTAGGGATCTGACCATTAATTTCTTTTAGAGTAAGTTACTGAATTCGTTCCTATGGTTTGGTCAAAGTTGCACGTTTGGTCCTTAACTTTTTTTTTTGCACTCGGATCGTCCCTGTGGTTTGATTTTGTTGCGTTTTTCGTCCCTGTGGTTTGATTTTGTTGCATTTTTCATCCCTTACATACATAAAGTTAGGGACCAAACGTGCAACTTTTACCAAACCGTAGGGACGAAAACGCAACAAAAGCAAACCCCAGGGACGATCCGAGTGCAAACAAAAAGTTAGGAATCAAACGTGCAATTTTGATCAAACCACGGGGACGATTTCAGTAATTTACTCTTTTAAATATTTTCAAATATATTTTAAACTATATATAATGGAGACAAAATTGCAAAAATGTCCCTGTGGTATGCATTTTTTTAGGGTTTCAGTCCAAACCTCGATTTTATTGGATTCATGGTCCTTTTAGCCTAGTTTGTACGTAGAAATTGTCTATCGATTTAACTTCCGTTAAGTTATTGTTGTTAACTCCCTCATGTGCATCTCACATGAGGGTATATTTGTCTTTTCACATATAAAGGACTATTTTTGCACCTAAAAATATATCTTTTTTTTAATATTAATTAATACCCATTTATTTATTTTTATAATTAAAAAATAAAAAAGCTCTCTCTCTCTCTCTTTCTTTCTCATCGTCTTCTATATTGTAACTCATACATACACATATACATACTCTGAAAATCGATTATGCAAATCATTTTTTATTTTGTTTATGGGCCAGACTAACACCAACCTCATCAGTCATCCCACCACACCTATTGTGAATCGGATTTCAAGATCATACATTTTCTTCTTCGCGAGGTTATATATTGTTTTGTTTTATACATGCTTGTGAGGAGAGGGATGCTCTGTTATGGATAATCGATTCAGAAGGGGATGAAAAGAACCTGAAATGTTTCATCAAAAGTTCATAGAAATGACAAACCTTCCAGCCAGCTAGATAGAGCAGGAATCAAACCTCATATAAGATCTTTATAAGCTCATCAACTGCAAGTGTTTTAGAGAGAGAAAGACTAACTTGTTTCTATCAGATTTTGGGTTTTGGAGATATAGAGGTTCGATTTCATAGTTTTTTTACATACATTTGAATTCCAAAATTTATGCTCCTGAATGAGGATCAAACGATTTCGTTTTGCCCAGATTTACATTATCTTACAATTCTTCGTTTTTCTTCTGAATAGGAGGTTCGGTTCAGCAACAGTCAATCGATGGATGATTAGATGGGGATAATCTCCAAACCATCTTACACCTTTTCCTTTCTTTGATTCCAAACCCCAACCCTTCCTTTCCGTCTCCTTCTTCTTTAGAATCAATAATTGTGGAGATTTTGGGTTTTAATTTTGAAGGTGTGCATTACAGGACCATCAATCAAAACACTGCCAGAAGATGTATGGCACCGAGATGGAGGTGAATCCGGTGACGATTTCAAAGGGAAACACCGAATCTGAATCTCCATCGATGGAAGATGCTTGGAGGTGACGAAAGGGGATTTTTAAAGAGAGAGATGCGGGGTTATGGTGGTCAACTGAGTCTCTAAACAAATGTCGTATATCCTCTGCTATACCTTTTTGTTCTTGATGGATATTAATGGTAGAAGGGGATTATCGATTATTTGGAGAGAGAGAGAGAGACCTTTTTTATTTTTTAATTATTAAAATAAATAAATATGTATTAATTAATATTTAAAAAAAGATATATTTTTTAGGTGCAAAAATGATCATTTATATGTGAAAAGACAAATATACCCTCATGTGAGATGCACATGAGGGAGTTAACAACAATAACTTAACGGAAGTTAAGTCGAGGGACCATTTCTACGTACAAACTATATCAAAAAGACCATGAATCCAAAAGAATCGAGGTTTGGACTGAAACCCTAAAAAAATGCATACCACAGGGACATTTTTGCAATTTTGTCTATGATGGAGATATAAACTATAATGTGACCCCACATGTGAAGATGAAGATATACGCATGATCTTTTTAATTGTTATCAAAGGTGTGTTTTATTTAAACCGATTAATATATAAATAAAACAATAGGATTAACATGATAAAATGCAGTAAAGAATACTAGATGGACCTTTTCTTTTAAATATGGTTTTTATATATTTTGAATGCTCAATACTCAATAGCCATATAAACTTACAATGGGTATGAGTCATGAAAGAAGAGGGCTTATTCCGTATTTAATCACTAAAAGGCCAGGGGCCCAAGTCTCGTGGGTGTTGGGCTAAACTCGTCTGATAAATAAATGAGTTCCTCGTTCACTCTTTACAAAATTTGATCAACCTTTTTCAACGAAAGCATTTTTAGCTCAAGTGACATGTAAGACATAAAAATCGTGCATTATAATGGTTTAAAGCTCCATCTTTGTCGATTTAAAACGAACCAAAAATAGCACAACAATACAATTTGAAATTGAAGCTTTAATCATGGAAACTTGGTTCACAACACAAGGATGCCATAGATTTTATGTTTTAAATTGTAAACTGATGAACACTGAGGTGCCGTTTGTTGTTTTGAAATCAAAATGTCTGCAGTCTGCGGACCACATCTGCAAGCCTCTGTCTGCAGTCTGTAATAAGAAGACTATTTATTTTTAACGTCTGCGGGCTGTTAAAATAAATTGAATTTTTAAACTTAATTTCATGTCATAAACATTAAAAATACATGTTTAACAAAAAAAAGAAAGAAAAAAGAAACTGCACGGTGACCCATGTTTTTTTTTTTAGGTTAAAATGAGGTCTGAAGACCTTTGAAGACAGTGACCCATGTCTGCGCCAGGAAGACCTCGCGCAGACGTTTTCTGATCTGCGGACTTTCAAAAAACAAACAATCTGCGATGGCATATGTCTGCGCGTTGTCTACGCAGCGCAGACAAAAGTGGTTGCACAGATCTTCACACAAAAAACAAGCAGCCCCTGAGAGTTCTTGTATTGAATGAGAATGAATAATAACATTTACATGAGTTGGTATAAATACAGAGAAATACAACTGATTCCTAGATACAAGCATTAGATCAGGTATAAGAGTATGACTAGGATTACGAGTATACACACGTGCTCTTATAATAGAATGTACTGTTATTACTCCCTGCAAGCTCAAAGTCGGGTCGAATTTGAAGCTTGTCGAGACTGATTGGAAGAGATAGCAAGCATAGCCAGGGGCGAGTTTATGCATGTTCAAGGTGGGTCACATGAACCACCTAGTTTTAGAAATAATACAAGAAATTATATACCAAAATATTTATGAACCACCTTAAGATTTTAGAAGGGCCTACCTTACAGAAAAAGAAAAGAGGAAGGAAAAAAAGAGAGGAAGAGATTTGAGTTGACAAAAACAAAAAAAAAAACATATTGAAATGCAAATGAAGAAATGGAACGGGGATCTACAAAAGAGACATTGTTAGGGTTAGATTCAATTTACTTGGGAAGAATGTCATGTCCATTTAGGAGAATGGGCTATCTTTTATTTATAATTATTATATTTTTATTTTTTATTTTATTATTTCTATTATAATAAAAATGAATATATTTCTTTTGTTAGCTTTTCGTGCTTTGGGGAAAACTGGTTTGATCGTGAATCTATATCTTTTTGTTAGTTTTTTTTTTTTTTTTTTTTTTTTTTTTTTTTTTTTTTTTTCTAAATAGATTTTCATATATATTTAACTTACACATCTATAAATAAATATGATATATTTATTTGATTAAAAGAAAATTGTATATATATTTAACTTACACATCTATAAATAAATATGATATATTGGTAAAACATGAAAGGATGTTACTTATACATGTCTATTTTTTAAATATGTGTAGATAAGAAAAAGTAAATCATGTATAACTAATTTAAGAAATCGGCTTTATTCTAAATTTAATTTGATTTTAGCCAAAAAAAAATAAGAAATGATCGGTTTACACATAAAAAAAAATGTCATGTATGACTAACCCGTTTTTTTTCTTGAACCAACACTAGTTAGTGAACCACGTTAGTTTCTATTCTAGATGCGCCATTGAGCACAACAGGAGTGAGAATAGGAGTAGAGGTTGCTTTAAACCCTTTATCTGCATGGGACTTGATATGAGTCTCTTCTACAATTATCTCATAGACAACTGAATCAACTGAAGGAAGATGAGAGCGATGAAGAATTATTCCATGAAGAACTTTAAAATCAGAACGCAAGGCCATCAAGAACCGAACCAAGTGTTTTTCTTCCTCCTAGCAATGTAAGGGTCAAAATCTGATAACTCTTTAGATTCAGTAAGAGCCAATTGATCCCAAAGATCAGACATAACAACATAGAAATCTTGAATGCTCTAGTCATTCTGTTGAAGGACACGACTATCATCTTCCAACTGGTATTGTTTAGCAAAATTGGACTGAGTATACAGTCTCTCCAAGTGATTCCAAACTTCATTTGCTATATCATACTTAGTCAACTGCATACCAATGGACTGAGTAACAGAGTTATTGATCCAAATAATAACCTTGGAGTTATCAGTCTCCCAAGCATCAAGCAACATATCAAAATTCTCAGTTTGAGCCACTGAGGGTTTGGCTTTAGTCCCAGTGACATAGCCCCACATATTCTTCCCACGAAGGAAGTTCTTCATAACGTAACTTCAATACGTATAATTCTTTCCATCCAAACGAGTATTGATTGACTGAAGGGAATCATCCTTTTCAGTCATGTTGATAGTGAATGAATAACCACAATGACAATATAACAATCTGAGAATGAAATGAGTAACAAACCAGCGGAAACAATCACTTGAATAACGAATCAACAACAATTACGAACTAACAACAACAACGAACCAACAGTAGAAACGAACCAACAACAGCAACGAATCAACACATCAAAAAAAAAAAAAAAAAACGAATACCAGTGACAATAAACGAAAACGGCATGCTACAGTAACCCTAGATGACTGCTACAAAGAGAAATTACAAGGACTTCTAACAATGTATCAAACCTCTGCTCTGATACCATGATAACATTGTCATATGATTATAACAAAGAGAAACTACAAGGGTTCTCAGAAAAAAGCATAAATACTACAAGGAATAAAGCGGATATAAATACTAGTTAGACAGAAACCCTAATGGGCTAAAGACAAAAGGGCCCATAAACAAGTGGGCTAATAATATATAAACTAACAGATTGTTACCCATGGATAGGAAGAAGATGATGGAAAAAAAAATTATAAGGCTCTAAATACCATGTAAACTGATGAACACTGAGTTCTTGTATTAAATGAGAATGAATAATAACATTTACATGAGTTGGTATAAATATAGAGAAATACAATTGATTCCTAGATACAAGCATTAGACCCGGTATAAGAGTATGACTAGGACTAAGACTATACACATGTGCTCTTATAATAGAAAGTACCGTTATTATAAATCAACAAATGAGGACTCGAGCCATTTTGTATGTTAATGCACTTCTTGTAATTCTAACTTGGTTATATGTGCATGACTCCCAAAACTTACATATATCACAGACTTGGGAGCTTGGGTGTCTAGCCATTCTAGAATATTTCATTCTTGTTTGATCAAGCTACCTGAGGACGCTAAGAAATTCTTGGTAGATGGTTTCCACTATAAGTTCTTCGAGCTCTTTGAAGCTATTCCGAATAATCCCCATTAATAACCTAGCTCGTCTGTCTAACAATATTGGTGATATATAAGGTGCCCAAAACCTTGTTAGGAATGATTTTTAGGATGTTTTTGACTTCGATAAATGAATATTCTGGCACCAATGCTTCGTAATCTGGATCTGAAAATATCCATTCAAAAGTTATTTTTATTTTAATTTAATTTATTTTTATTTTAAATATTTGTAATGCGTTTGTTATATCCCGAACATCAACTTGAACACACGTTCCAAAATTTTTAATAAAAATATGAACGTGAATTGCACCAGTGAGATCTATGTTACAAATATATAAATGATGATCTTCAGAATAAACAATAAATAAGAATGTACGTGGAAAAATCAAATAAATTAAAAGAATCGTTACCAACATTTCCGAACCAGACAAAATCATTATTATTCAATTAAAACTTAAACCAAATAAATTTAGCTTTATCTAACTTAATCTATTTTAAGCATAGTAATTCCTACTTTAAACATAATAATTCGAGTTGATGGTCCAAAAAAAAAGAAGAATCCAATAGTGCGTGGATCATGTGATATTTATAAACAATATATTTTCAAAATTTTTAATAAAAATATGAACGTGAATTGCACTAGGGAGATATATGTTATAAATATATAAATCATGATCTTCAGAATAAACAATAAATAAGAATGTATGTGGAAAAATCAAATAAATTAAAAGAATTGTTACCAACATTTCCGAACGAGACAAAATCATTATTATTTAATTAAAACTTAAACCAAATAAATTTAGCTTTATCTAACTTAATCTATTTTAAGCATAGTAATTCCTACTTTAAACATAATAATTCGAGTTAATGGTCCAAAAAAAGAGAAGAATCCAAAAGTGAGTTAATGGTCCAAAACAAGAGAAGAATCCAAAAGTGCGTGGATCATGTAATATTTATAAACAATATATTTTCAAAATAATTAATTATAGTGGATAATTGAAGGAAGGATTTTATAGCCTAACGTTAAGATGACAATCTTTGGAGAAGGGGCTAAAAAAAGAATTGTAACGATATTTTTTCAAAAAGAATAGTAAGGAAACCAAAAAATAATTTCAAATTTAAATATTAAACCCCAGAATAAACCATTCTTTAATATATATATATATAATATATATATATATATATATATATATATATATATATATATATATATATATATATATATAGGGTTAGGTTCATATGAGACGGTTTAATTTTGTGAGACCGTGAGAAACATTTTTTTTTTTATTTTTTAGTTTTTATTTTTTTAGTTAATTCAAGTTCCAAAAATAATATTAATTTTTTTTTGGATTTTTCCATTTATTTTGCATTTTAAAATTATTTTTTAAAATATGTACAATGTAATATTCCATTAGAATATTTCACGTATTTTTCAAAAAAAAACGGGATTTTATTTTTTATTTTTTTTAGTTAATTCAAGTTCCGAAAATAATATTTAAAAAAAGAATTTTTAGATTTTTCCATTTATTTTGTATTTTAAATTATTTTTTAGAATATGTCAATGTAATATTGTATTAGAATATTTCACGTATTTTAAAAAAAACGGGATTTTTTTATATTTTTTTTAGTTAATTCAAGTTCCGAAAATAATATTTAAATTTTTTTTTTTGGATTTTTCCATTTATTTTGCATTTTAAAATTATTTTTAGATTTGGTTTTACGGTTTCACAAAATTAGTATGATCTCAAATAAACCTGACCTTATATATATATATATATATATATATATATATATATATATATATATATATATATTTATTCTAGAACAATAATCTACAATGAAGCAATAGAAAATTGAGGTGATTTCTTCAAAAAAAATTTATAACTTAGATAACTATTATTAAAATAATCATTATATGGGTTAAATTACCGATTTTAGTTATTATTATTAGAATAATCATTTTATATATAAGTTAGATCCTTAAGACCATCTGTTATACCTACCACATATCATATATATATATGGTAGGTGTTACATCATCACTACATTTCCCTATCATATACATGAGATACTTACCACTAGCACACCACTCTACCTCATTTTTTATTTAAATCTAATTCAAAAACACAATAAAACATATTTTTTTTAACTAGTTTTTTATTCAATGAAACATGATTACATTAATTTAAAATACACAACATAAAAAAAACATAAACATGCAATCACGAACAACTTAAATTATTTTTTAAACCTTATTTTTAATCACTAAATTTTGGGTATTCTTTCAATTTTCACCAAGCTTGATGCATTTAAACATGCAACCACGAGTCGTCTTCATGTGCATTGTTTATAACAAAATTATAAATATCATTGAATTCAAGACATTTAACCCTTATATTGTGAAACTTCGCACATATTTCATCAAGACTACGATTTTGGTAATGCATTAAATCATGGAAAACATTTCCAACTTTTACCCAAAAATTAGGAGGCGTTATTGGATCTTCTAAAACCGCTACCCATGCTTGTGCTAAGTTCTCTTCTTTATTTTCTGACCAATTCATCCTTTTAGGAGCCATTAGTTTTAAAAGAATGCAAAAGAAGTGTGAGATTTTATGAGAAAAGAAAGAAAAAAAATTGTATGAGTATGTTTAATATAAAGTGTGATATTTATAGAAAAAGTTTAAAATGTTTGAAAGGTTAAAAAAAAAAAAAACAAAGCAAAACGTTACAAAAAACTAGCCGTTGCTGAGCATCGACCAATACCCACTTCCGTTTGATTTCGTGGAACACACAAGGAGCGAACACGACCACGATCGACTACGACCGACCGGGATGATGTGCACGGTCATAATCGTGGTCCACGTATACCACGATTGATCTCGGGCTATGTATACCGTATGGACTAATAATAAGTATTGTTTAAGAATTAAATAATACCCAAAATCATATTAAAGGAAGTCGCAGAAAAGGACCCGAGTATGTAATCAATTCCTTGCAGAGTCTGTTTTTGATTGAATCCACGGGTAACTCTCCCCTCCTTTCTGCTGTGGCAATTACGACTGTATCCTCGTATTTATCTGCACGCAATGAAGATTTTTAGTTTCTGGATGATTATTGAACTTGTTATTTCTACTTTTTAAGTGTGAATTAATCAAGTTCTTCCTTTCAATCCAGTTGAAATTTTGTTTCTGGTGAGATCTGTATATGCTAATTAATCAGGTTAGCTGAATCGTGCTAGTCCTCACTGTAATTTACCTGTTGTGTCACTAGTGTTTAACTTGGATGAATTTGCTGTTGACCACACCTCCATTGTGTTTTGGTTTAAGCTACCTGGTAGCAATATTGGGATTAAGAGTTTTCTTTGGTTGGTTTACTCTAATTTCATTCTTGTAGCTGGACTTGGACATGACGTGATTTAGTATTTTTAGATAGAGTTAATGACTTACGAGTTGTGACATGAAATTAATTATCGAATGTTTCTTCTACAGATTCCTAAACAACAAAATCAAGCAACAATTTCTGTGATGGATCAAAAAACAGTACGCCCACCTCATGTGTTGATATTCCCATTGCCATTACAAGGCCCTGTGAACTCCACCATCAAGCTAGCTGAGCTTCTATGCCTCTCGGGTCTCCACATCACCTTACTTCTCACTGATCATATCCACACCAAACTCCTCAAATACTCAAATATACAGTCCCGTTTTAGCAGCTACCCAGGTTTCCACCTAGAAACCATACCTGATGGCCTTCCAGAAGACCATCCTCGCTCCATTGATCGCTTTATCGAAGTGTTGGAATCTTTAAAAACCAAAAGCAGTATCCTCTTCAAAGATCTGATGACCACAGATTCACGCAGACCAGTAACATGTATAATTGCAGATGGAACTATGGGATTTACTTGTGATGTAGCTAATGAAATAGGAATACCCATTATGTATATTCGTACAATTAGTGCTTGTTGTCTGTGGGTTTTCTTCTGTTTTCCCAACCTCATTGAATCCCGTGAACTTCCATTCTCAGGTTCGGATATTGCTTTGTGTTCCTCCATTTTTGATAGTCGATTTAATTTTTTGATTAATCAATTTCTAATAGGAAACGACCTAGACACACCGATAAAGAGCATACCAGGCATGGAAGAATTCTTGAGACGCCGTGATCTTCCACTGTTTTGTCGTTTCAACTTGTCAGACCCAAATATCAAAACCTATCTCTCTGAAGGTACAGAAAACCCAAGAGCTCATGGACTTATACTCAACACTTTTGATGATTTAGAGGGTCCAATCGTCTCCCAAATACGCACTTTCTGTCCAAATTTATACACCATTGGTCCACTACACGCTCATCTGAAGCTCAACCTAGAATCCTTCTCCTCGTCACCGCCTTCATCAAACAGTCTGTGGAAAGAAGACATGAGCTGTATTCCATGGCTGGATTCACAACCATCAAAATCCGTGCTGTATGTTAGCTTTGGAAGTCTTGCTGTAATGTCAAAGGAGCTCTGGTACGGGTTGGTGAATAGTGGGTCCCGTTTCTTGTGGGTCATACGGCGACATTCAGTCCTGAGTGAAATCATTGAAACCCCACCGGAACTTTCCAAAGGCACGGAGGAGAGAGGATGCATTGTTGAGTGGGCTCCGCAAGAGAAGGTGTTGGCCCACGGTGGTGTGGGTGGGTTTTTGACACACAGTGGGTGGAATGCGACGCTCGAGAGTGTGGTTGAAGGTGTGCCGATGATTTGTTGGCCTTACTTTTTGGATCAACAGGTGAATAGTAGATTTGTAGGAGAAGTGTGGAAGTTGGGTTTGGACATGAAGGATACGTGTGATCGAGTGATTGTAGAGAAGATGGTGAGGGAATTGATGGAGGAGAGGAAGGAGGAGTTTAGGAAGTCGGCGGATGAGATGGCGAAACTTGCAAAACAATGCTTCATGGTAGGTGGATCGTCTTATTGTAATTTACAACGTCTAATTAATGACATCAAAGCAATGTAAAAAAAAAAAAAAAAACTGTTGAAATTTGGTAATGAAATCTCCAAATCATTCATAAATCCCCAACAAATGGAATTCTATCAGAATTTGGTTTTACATCTAGAAGTGGTATCATCCTTCGCTTGTAATCTAATATGACATCAATGTTGAATTGTTGATGTCTTGGAGTTGTTTAATCTCTCATGGGAGTTCTTTAATGGTGTAAGAAACACTTTATTTATTACAAGATATAACCTAGCTATATAGAAAGTTAAAAGTTATTTTATTTTGTTTATAATAATTTTGTGTAATTTATCTTGGAATCTGGACATGCTCGGGCTGACAGTTGACTAATCTAACTTCCACGCGGCGGGTAAGTATTGGTTGGGATGCACGGTAACAACGTAGGTGGAGATTGGAATGGTCGGCTATGTTGGTGATCACTATGGAAACGTTCTTCATACTTGATCCAGTGTTTGCGCTTACCCCCCTTAAACTTTGAGTTATTTTCAGAAATGGCTTAAGACTTTTTGTTATTGTTAAAAGAACTCATCCGGCTTATCTTGTCCATGTTAATTCTCTTAATTAAAACAAATTAACTGATTGCATGTTAGTTCGCAATTACGTATATGTCACCTATTAGGCTGTTATGAAATAAAAACTATCGAAATAGTCAAATAGCTTCGCTCTAATGATGAGTATTCAGTATGTAGTTGATTATGTGATACTGAAAAACCATCAAAATCCGTGCTGTATGTTAGCTTTAGCCTAATATTAATTTCCAAAAGGGTAAATTACACCAATCGTCCCTCGTGCATATGCCAAAAAGCGTGTTTAGTCCCTATTTTCAAAAATTAACTCGGACCGTCCCTCGTTTCTTTTAGACTTGCACGTTTCATCCCTATTGACATAAAATGACTATTTTGCCCTTAATAATTTCTTTTTTTCATTTTCTTTTTTTTTTATATATTTTTTTTATTAAAAAATAAGAATAAACAAAAAAAATACCCCCACCCTTCCCCCCTTCCATTTCTTCCTATCGAATAAAACATATAATTTCTTCTGCCTTCGTCTCCTTCTTTCTCACTCGATCCCTATGCCAACGAAAACCCCATCACCGCCACCTTCACCAACTCTGCCATCATCACTATCATCTCTAACCCTTAAAACCTGCAACAAGATTCGACAATGGCCACCATATTCTCCATATATTACCCACCCTACGAAGAATCCATTGAAACAAAATCGATCAGGACATCCATGATGGTGATTTTTCTAGATTTGTCAATGTCGTACATGTCGGGGTTGCTCTCTTCATAAAGCTTTAACAAAAGAATATACCCAACTGACCATAGCTTTATTTGATTTGTCAAATTACTTGACAGGAAATCGAGTTTCGAGAATTCGTATGTACCAAGACATAATTTATTCCCGATATCATGTGATGAACCATCATAGTTCTTTAACAGGAGAGGGAAATCCATGGTGGTGATTTTTCCAGATTTGGTAAAAATTCATATCTGCGTGTTTCCAGAAGAATCCATCGAAACCAAATCAACCAGAAACATAAAATCAAAATCGATTTAGGAAGGATGGAGAAGGGGAAACGAAGAAATAGGGATAAGCTGCTCAGTGAAACAATTGAGAAGGGAATCATTCGAAGACTAAACCTTCACCCGTTTCCTCCGATCTCCTCTTTGCCTCTCATCGGAAACATAAATTTTTGATGGGGTGTTCTTGGTGTTGCTAGAAGGGTGTTCATCAGATGGAGTATGGAGGTGGGAAAAGATGATCTAGACACCAGAACCTTTCTCCTTCCCATCGACCCAATCGTTGGAAACTACCTCCACATATGTCGGAAATTGTTGAACTGAACATCGCCGGAATGTTGGAGGCTGAGGGTTTGATGGCTCGTCGGAATCCTAGAATATGAGGGTGAGGTTTAATGAGAGAAAAGATAAATAAGGGGAAGGGCCGTTAATTTTTTTTCTAAATATAATTTATAATTAATAATACTATATAAATAAAAAATAATTAGAAAATAAATAAATAAAGGGCATTATGGTCATTTCAGATCTTATATGGACTAGATTTGTAACAAAACCACGTATCAGGGATGGAGTGTGCAACTTTTAAACAAATGAGGGACGGTCCGAGTTAATTTTTGAAAATAGGGACTAAACACGCTTTTTGGCATGTATACGAAGGACGAATGGTGTAATTTACCCTTTCCAAAATAATTGGATTTGGTTCCTGAAAAAAATTGAAAAATATCTATTTTACTATTTTAATTTATTGAAAAATGTCTATTTTACTATTTTAATTTATTTTTTATTCCTTATCTATTATAACATTTTAATTAATAAAACAAAATAAAATGGGCTCAACCCAATCCCCAATCACATACCTTTATCTAAACAAAGCACCCGATAACATATCGATACCCTTTGCAGCCAAAGAGTAGCAAATTAAGTTACAATTGTATCAATAATAGGTGTCAAACTATTTTTAACAATCTAGAACACCATGAACAAATCAATGTTTTTTCAGAGAAATCGTTGTCTGGGAACCAGAAATCATCGAGTTCCAAGTGACCAAGTTTCTTTGAGGCTCATCGAGTTCCTAGTGACCAAGTTTCTTTGAGGCATTTGACCGAACATCTTGACTACATCATCACCAAATCCAAATTTCTCATACATTGCTATCGATGAACTACCTACAAAGAAATCCTATATCAAACCTATCTTGAACGCTAATGATTACTTGTCTGCATTTCAAATTCAAGGTTCCTACAAAAACAATTAATACTTGTAGTTTGTTAAGATGGAAGATCATCACAATGGCGAGAATCGTCTACCAACACTGTCAAAATGGTGTATGTTTGTTCAGAAAAAGAAGTTCACCATTGAACCAATTGAATTTATGCGTTGGAGACACCCATTCACCTCCACCTCTAGTCCACTCCACTACTGCCATAAAAAGTCCGATCTAAAAAAATCCCCAAAAAAGACACCCAATTAAAAAAAAGACCAGACCAAAAAAAGAGTAAACTGAGAAAAGACCGACCAAGATTGCTCTGAAAAAAAGACGAAGTCATTCCTAAAAAAGACCATAACGTTCATAGACTAACCGAGACCGGCCTCCAAAAAAATTGGATGCAAAAGTTATATACATATCATTTTTATGTTAATCATACATTATTTATGTAACATCATAAAAATACTAATACAAATTTTCCATTTTCATACCATCAAACTCATACAAACATTTGTTCAAAATCAATCATAGTAAAATATATCTCCCAAATATCAAAGTAAAATGATAATAAGCAATGTGGAAAAAGCCATCAGGGGTGCTGTACAGTCAAGTTGGGATCTTCCATTTGAAACTGGAAGCACCTAAAAATATTTAAACCACAAAATTATAAGCACAAATATTTAAACCATACATAACAATGGGCCCCATCCACGTAACGGGCCCTGCCTAGCATACAAATGGTCCCCGCCCAGTAAACATTAAGTAACAGTTAAGGTAATAACTAACACATAAAAAGTCTTGGTTCATAGATAATCCTCCATTCGACAAAATACCATTTTGCCATACGAAGACTAAAAACCAACTCAGTTGACAAAAAGTCAACTGTCTGGTGCTACGCTAAGCATAGCGCATACCTACGCTCGACGTAAAGCTTCAGGTGAAAAACGTAAGAATTTCATGCTACACTAAGCATAGAGAAAGCTACACTCAGTGTATCTCCGCTGATGTCCAAACTTTGTATTAAGCTATTAATACCGAAGGCCAACCACACAAACTCTCATATCTGAATCTAATGGATGCCTTAATGGATAAAGTCTCTGACTTTATCGCTTTGTAACAACTTATTTTATTTCCTTATTTTTATTAGTTTATTTTAGATTTTTAGATCTTTTTATCATTATTGCATTGTATTTTATTTATTTTCTTTATCATGGATCATATTGGGGACTTTTTATGTTGCATGAGGTATTTTTCAGGGTTTGGAGCTTGTTGTGTGACATCCCCATTTCCACGGCCATAAAAGACCGATTTTGTTTATGCTTCATAAAAATCAAAGTACCTCTTTTAATAAAAATGTTGCGGAATTTGTTCCCAGTAAAACATGATAAATACGTTATTAAAGCATTTCTGAAGAAAAATATTTTTATTAATTTTAAAACATTTGGGATGTCATCGTCAATACAGAAACATAAACATAAACAGAACTTACATTCATTATCACTAGTGATTTATATATCCTTAAACTCTCAGTGTAAGGTAACTTCACATCGTCACATGTGATATAAATTAACTGAGTGGGTCAGGTTGGAAAACCTGGTGAGTACATAGGGTTTTCAACCCACAATAATATAATTATTATGTTTAAACAATTAAACAATCAACCCAATTACTCATCCCCATTATCTTCTTTACTCATAAGAATCTACCCTAAGAATCAACTATTCCTCGTTCATTTATTCCTAAGGATCATCCAAAGGAATCGACACAAAGTCCATCGTTGCCACGGTTTACACAATAGGCACTACCAAGGATTATGCACCAAGTCTGCATGGTCACCATGGTTTAGGCATCAAGTCTGCATGATCGCCAAGGTTTAGGCATCAAGTCTGCATGTAACGACCCGTTCCCGGTATGTTGATTTATTGGTAATTATAGTGAGTTTTACAAGAGGGACTCGGCGAGTTCATAGCCTGACTCGCCAAGTAGGGTCGCTTCTGCGAGCACGCGTGAGCCGGGGACTCGGCGAGTCCATATGATGGACTCGGCGAGTCCATCCGTCTGGGTGAAACCTTAAATCCCCGGGTTGCCCACTATTTAAACCACCTTATAGCCCCCATTCTCGCCTACGTCACCCTGAGAACACAGTGAGAGAACCCTAATCCTCCCTTGAGAGCTTATAAGTGTTTTGGTGCCATTTTGTGAAGGTGTGAAGAAGGAGAAGAAGAAAGAAGCAAGGAGAAGTGTTGTAGTGCAAAGATCCAAGGGCAAATCTAAGTTAATTGAGGTATTTTCGGAGTTTCCTTCTTGTTATATGCTTTAAACTTCCATTAGGGCT